AGTGAGTGTGTGTTCGGGGTCGATGGCGGAATATTTATAAAAGTACCCCATCGACCCCAATCTAGTTTAGTTTAAGTGTAGGTCGGTGGAGGAATATCAAGTACTCCACCGACCAAACGGAATGAGCGTACTGTATGGATGTATTTAAGTGTATAAATGTATTTATTTGTATGAACGTGTATAGAATATAGACTTAGTGGGGGCTGAAATGACCTAGATGTCGGAAGCCCCAGCAAAAAAAAAAAAAAATAAATAAAAAAAAATAAAAATAAGATAGTGTATGGTGTATTGTAGGATTAAAATGTTATTACTAGTGGATCGAAATCACGATAGCTCAAGTGGTAGAGCAGCGGTGTATTTAGCCGAAGGTCGTGGGTTCGAATCCCGCTCGTGACGCTGACTTTGTACCTCAACCAAGACCTTACACAGAAAGAATAATTAATTGATTGAAAGAAGTAACTCGTTCAATTGACCACGAAAACGTAAATGAAGTAAAAGGAATATTGCAATGGTTTTATTTCTTCTATTTTTTATGTAAGGTATTGGTTGAGATAAATCACAAGTCCGAGTGGATCGAAGTCACGATAGCTCAAGTGGTAGATCAGCGGCGTATTTAGCCGAAGGTCGTGGGTTCGAATCCCTCTCGTGACACTGGCTTTTTCACTTCAACCAATACCTTACATAAAGATTAATTAATTGAAAGAAGTCATTTGGTCAATTGGACCACGAAATATAATGGAGTTATTACTAGATTTATACAAGCATACCGACGTTCTTTCGCATGCTTTCAAAACCTCCGGAACCATATCTCGAGTTTGGAAATATGGTTACTAGCCTCTCCATTTTTTATTGTATCACTTGTGATTCAATGGACAATCCTGTTCCTCTTTCAGTATCCAACACTGAAAACTCCCACCCTCGATTTAAAAGATTTCAATTGAACAGAAGATATAAACTAATGAAAAGACTACTGGTTAACTCAATGAAAACTCACAATACATGACAGAATAGGGACCAAACTGAGTTTAGTCAATTAAACTGTGGGGTTTATATTAGTAAATATATTTACAAAAAAACATAAAATTGCCAAATTGTAGATATTTAAAAATTATATATAAACAAATAATAGGTTAAAATATTTTTTGTTTTAACTCATGGAAAAAACTATGTTATAGTTTAATAAGTACAGTAATTTGTTGAACACCTTTTTTGTTTTTTCTAGAATTCTAAAAACTTCATTCATATCCGCACCTCACTACGTCAACAAGTTATTGAATAATGGATCGTTAAAAAACACAGAAATAAGGAAAATATTAATACATATGTAAACAAAAATTTATTAAAACCGTAGTAAAATGTAAATAATATAACATTCAGTAGTCAGAAAAAAATCATAATGCAGAACTAAAAGGTTCACGTTCATAAGTTAAATATAAATTTTAATCCTTTCTGATTCCTTTCAGACCATATGGACCTACCTATCGTCCCATCTTGCAACTCTGTTGCGTATCCATGCATGAAATGTTTTCTTTGTATTATTTTGTAAATATCTTCATTAATATATATTATTATTATCATATGGGAACATTATTTCATATATGAGAAAGTACAGAAGTGCATTCGTGGAAAGTTTGCTAGTGGATCTTTAGTGAAATAATTTGTAAAAAATTATAATGATCAATAATATAATACTTATTATATGGGGGTTACATTATTTCGTGTATGAGTAAGTAAAAATGTGCATCCACGGCAAATTTGCTACTTTTTTTAGTGAAATAAGGATTTTTGATTATTTTCGAAAAAAAAATATTGGTAAAAAATTGTAATAATTAACAATATAGTACTTATTTCATGGGGTGGGGGTTACTTTTTTACTAGGATTTTGATTCTTTTTTCTTTTTAACAAAAAATAAATTTGTAAAAAATTATAATATTTAAAAACATAATACTTCTTATATGGGGGGTTATATTATTTCATGTATGTAGAAAGTCGTGATGCTTATCCACGGCAAGTTTGCTAGTTTCTTTAGTGAAATAAGGATTTTTGATTCTTTTCGCAAAAAAATTAGTAAAAAATTATGATAATTATCAATATAATACTTATTACTTGGGGGTTATATTATTTCATGTATGATTAAGTATAGGTGTGCATCCATGGCAAGTTTGCTAGTTTCTTTAGTTACATAAGATCTTTTATTCTTTTCGCAAAAAATGGATAAAAAATTATAATAAATAACAATACAATATTTATTAGATGGGGTGGTTACATTATTTCATGTATGAGTAAGAAGAGATGTGCATCCAAAGTTTGCTTGAATCCTTAGTACGGTAGGGATTTTTTATTGTTTGCAATAAATTTTTCTAGTTGATCAAGTTTATAATAATTAACAACTCAGCTCAGGCAGTTTTCAGTGCTGTGAAAACAATTTCAAATTCTTAAACCGTTTTTAAATTTAATAACTATGTTAATGTGTGTGGGAGAGTGTGGTCTGCGTGATAAATTATACATTTATGGATTGTATTATTATATATTATTTGATGCTAATTTGTCATTTTTTTAAATATTAAATATGTGACAGTTTTATGATATTAGTAGACGAAGTTTTGTCAATTAAACTCCAATGGATTTAAGTAGTACATGGCAGGATTCTCTTTTGTAAAAATGATTCTTTTCCCTGTACATGGAAAACTGTTTTACGCTTCCTCAATTTTTTCTTCCGTGGAGAAGTAGGTATAGAAATAGTATTTTAAACGAATTGTTCAAAATATTCTCCCCCCTGTGGTCGGAGGACTTCTAAATGGGACGACGGGGTGCGCAAAGGGTGGGTGCCCGAGGGTAACGAGATCGTATACCGGTTGGTCCGTATAAGCCCCGCCTTCATCCCGGGGGTGGAGCTTTATCCGAGTGCCGACCCGAAGCCGACGTTTTGGACTTAGTCGACGGCAGACTTCCATTAAAGTTGGTTCCACGGTCGTGACATGTTTTAAAGACGACTCTACTTGGATAAACGTATATTATCGTAAGTTTAACATCACCAACCTTAGAGATTATCGATTCAGTGATTTTGATTTTGGATGGTTCCAGATTAAAGTCTGGTTCTATAATGACTATGGACGTTCGACGGCGATGTGTCGAGACTACGGCAGCTTTCGTCGCATCACCCAGCACTCATTCTCCTCGGAGTGAGAGCAGCTCGTCGCCTCCTGTGACAGTGTCGTCTCCGAAGCCCGTGAAAAGGAGCTTCGACGTCGCTTTTCTCATGGCCCCTGACGACACGAGCAAACGCAGGCACCAGGAAGAACTGAAGGAACAGCTGCGCTTAGTCAGCACTGGCTCACTCATCCAGCGCTACACTTCTGAAGAGAAAACCACTTACCCGGACGTACCTCTCGGCCTGTTGATGCCTTCTAAAAGTGAGCAGGATCAGTATGCAAAGAGCGCGTTTACCAAAGTTTCGAACCCTGTGAGGATCGACAGCCCCAACATGTCTCCCGCGGTTTCCCCGGAATTGACCTATCAAGAAAGCATGAGTCCTCCGATGAGGGAGAGGTCGCCTCAGTATTACAAGCAAGTGCATTATTTCCCTTCAAAGCCGATCAACGCTCCTTATCTGTACCAGCCGAATCTTTCGAGGGAGAAAGAAAGGACGTCACCGGAGACGTTTCAAGGTCCTTTTAAAGTGCAAGATGACAAGGGCTCCGGGTCGAAGAGGTATCCCGGAGAGGTTCTCCCCTATGGAGGTCTCGCCATGGCCGCATATCCTTTCCCAGGGACATTCGGCGGTACTGGTCCTCAGGTACCAGCGTTGCTGACGGCCGCAGCGAACGTCACGGCAGCGCTTCTTCCGCCCTCTTTGGCTGCGTTGACCCTCCCCGCGCAGAACGTCTGCGCCAAATGCAACATAAGCTTCAGGATGACCTCGGATCTGGTCTACCACATGCGCTCCCAGCACAAGAGCGACAGTTCCGTCGCCGACAACCAACGCAGGCGGAGAGAACAGGATAAACTCCGTTGCCCCGTCTGCAACGAGTCTTTCAGGGAGAGGCACCACTTGACCAGGCACATGACAGCCCATCAAGACAAAGACGGTGACAAAGTCGACGAAGACGAAGACCCAGGCAGACGCAGGATGCACAAGTGACATAGATCCGTAGCTCAGGTAAAAGGAAAAGAAATCGATTACAGGAACGCTTACTTTCACACCGAATCCTTTAGCCACAACTATTAACCATATCTTCTAGTCAAAGTGTTTAACTTTATGTTACAATTTAGCCACGTAGAATTTCGACTTTATCCACTAAGTGTACAGCTAGGCATGCAATATGTAAATATCTCGGCCAAGGCTCTCGTGCAATATTTGTTATTAAGACTATTATTACTATCGATGTTACCTTTTTAATGTAAAATAAATGTATATTTATGTAATTATAGTCGTAGTTAAGAAAATCAATTTATAATACACTTTAAAAACATTAATTGGAAAAATAAAATCGCACTTTAACCTTAACAGTTTCTCGTGTATGTACATGTTAAAAAGAATAAATTAAATGAATAATTGTTAAACTTTAATCGTGTTGTGTCCATTTATTACAACTACCTATATCCCTATGTTCGGTATTTCCGTGTTAACAAGGGAACTGCTCGTTCCTTATACCACCCTATCAAAGCGGGAGCACCACAAGGTAGTGGTCTAGGCACTGTCATTTACCAGATATGTAGCTGATCCCTGCGAACCCTGACACTTCAATCTTTTCCTTTACTGATGACTCAGCAATTCACATACCGATCTTGTCACTTATTCCCGTAAGCTCCAACATCATCATTTAATTGAACAATGGTACACAGCTAAGGGAATTAAACACTAATAAATCAATAAACATTATTTTCACCCTCCGACGACGAACCTGCTCCCGCAGTAATGCTTCCTACTGCAAACCATGTATGATACCTGGGAATGTACCTCGAATAACATGGAATACACATACTAGGTTTTAAACGATAAGAACTGACGAGACGTTGCAGTAACCTTTCAAGTACGAATACTTAACTAACTAACGAACGAATAATTTACCATAATATTCTAAATCCGATCTGGATTTATGGACTAGATCTTTGGGTGTTTTGCCAAGCATTGCAACATACAAAGAATTCAAACACCTAAATCCAGAATCCTTAGAAACATCCTAAATGCTCCCTTCTACGGATCAAATGATACCATCCACACCGACCTTAATATACACTCCATCCGCGACACTGTCCAGATATCGTAAGTTCCACAATCATTCTCGTTCAACCGCCGAATCCAATCAAACCCTCCACGTAAGCTAGAGGCGATGGATCTAGTGAAGATAGTTATAGTGAAATGTGTCAGAATTCACCTAATTTTGAGTACTACCAATGAGTAGCTTCTCTCTATGATTTGTTTTTAAACATTTAATTTAATTTTTTGTTTTATTTCTTTACTCGTGTTCACTATTACCATAATTTTCCTAGTTGTAATATTAAATTAAAAAAATCAATCTTTAATCAATCGTACAGCTATCTTACCTGATCAAATAAACGACAAATTGACCAAATGACAACATACCGCCTACCTAAAAATAGTCTAATTATAAAGAAGGCATTTTTTTTTCATAAGCTTACATTTCTCGATATTATTAAAACTTTTGATTTAAAATCAATGTTGCACAGCAAGTGAATCTTTTGGCCAATCGCGTCTTTATATTATCGGGAATAAATATATGGTGGGCGGTATGTTTGACCGAATAAGTTTTATTTAACATCTTATAGAAAATACAGGATGGTTGACACAGGCCACTCACCTATAAATTATTTATAATAAACAGGAAGTATTTTCTATAAGAATTGGACTTTTCTCGCTATTACTACTATTCAATCGATGTTTAATGAACAATAAGACGCTCTAACTACCTGGTATTCCTTGTGATTTTGTATTATTGGCAGAAAAACTTTCGTTTTATGTGGTAATACAAAAGATAAATCAACGATTGATCCACTTAATAAGTGTTTTTATAAAATAGAAAACATTTTCTACATCATGTGGACTTTTCTCGATACTATTTAACAATCAATCAATGATTTAAATATAATAAATCTTTCGAACTACATTGTACTCCTTGTGTTTTTGTAATATCAGGATTAAATGTTTGGTGGGTGGCACGTTTGTGCTAATGGCTATTGCTAAATACTAAAAATTGTATGTAATTGACAGAAGGCATTTCAAACATATGTCCCCTTTTCTCGATCTTAACCAACGGTTAGTCAATGTTTTATGGACCCTAACTCTTTCTAACCTCCTGCACTCTACTGGTTTTATAATACCGTGTTCAATTTTTGGTTGGCGATGTTTTTTCTTTTTCTAACCACTAATAGGCCTTGCTTTTTTGATTATCTGAATAAAACGTTTGGTGGGCGGTATGTTTGGCTAAAGAATGTTCGTCTTAGAATAGCAAAAGATTGAAGACCGTTTGACCATATACGTTCATCTAAAAATTGTTTTTTAGACAGAAGATATTACAATTATAATAGGACGTTTCTCGATGCTATTCAATGGTCATTCAATGTTTTATGCACAACAAACTTTTTTAACCACCCAGAACACACTGTGTTTTTATACAATCGGAATACATTGTTTGTTGGGTGGCATGTTTGGCTAAAGAATTTTTGTTTTAGCTTCTAATGGTAAAAGATAAAACACCTACTTTAATATTGTATATAAATAATACAGGCATTTCAATCAAAAATAGAACGAATGACAACTTACCGCTCAGCTAAATTTTTTTTCACAAGATAGGAAGCATTTTCTGTAACAAGTGGAGTTTTCTCGATACAATTCAACAATCATTCAATACCTTATGCACAATAAAGCTTTCTTACCACCTTCTTGGTATACATTGTGTTTTTATAATATCGTCATTAGGTTTTGGTGGGCGGCATGTTTGCCCAAATAATTCGTGTTTTAAAAAATTGAACGATTGAAAACTTATCGCCCACCTAAAAATTGTTTTAACAAAGTAGGAAGCTTTTGCTGTAACAAGTGGAGTATTCTCGATACAATTCAACAATCATTCAATACCTTATGCACAATAGGTCTATTTAACCACATTCTTGGTATACATGGTGTTTTTATAATATCATCATTAGATTTTGGTGGGCGACATGTTTGGCCAAATAATTTGTATTTTAAAAAAATTGAACGATTGACAACTTACCGCCTACCTAAAAATTGTTTCAACTAAATAGAAAGCATTTTGGTACAATTTAACAAACAGTCAATGCTTTATGTACAATAAGCCTTTCTAACCAAATTCTTGGTACACGTTGTGTCTCTATAATGTCGGCATATGTTTTGGTGGGCGGCATGTTTGGACAAATAGTTTGATTTAAAAAAATGAACGATTGACAACTCACCGCCCACCTAAAAATAGTTTCAACAAAATAGAATGCATTTTGGTATAATTCAACAATCAGTCAATGCTTTATGTACAATAAGATTTTCTAACCACTTTCTTGGTACACCTGTTTCTATAATGTTGACATATGTTTTTGGTAGGCGGCATGTTTGGCCAAATAATTTGATTTAAACAAAATTGAACGATTGACAACTTAACGCCTATCTAAAAATTGTTTCAAAAAATAAAAAACATTTTGGTACAATTCAACAATCAGTTAATACTTTATGTACAATAAGCCCTTCTAACCATTTTCTTGGTCTACCTTGTGTTTTTATAATATTGGCATAAAACATTGTTGGGCGAAGATTTTTGAAGAAGAATTTTTATTTTATTTTCTAAAAGAGAAAGATAAAAGAAAATAAAATACAACGATTTCCCTCTTGAAAGCTTCTTCTTAGTTTAATTCAGTTTGTGTATCCTTTGTGCCCGCCGATTTATCAAAGAACCGTGCGTTATTGACAAAACTGGAATAGAAAAAGTTGAGGGGGTCCAGATATGGAAATAATTTTATCCAGAAGGTTTTCAGCGTGTAAACAAGCATTTTTGAAAAAATTAAACCCCAAAGTGTTGTAAATCATGATTGACGCCTCCGTTGTAAGTTATCTCGTGATGTACGTCCGTTTTCAACGATCAATACACGTTAAAGAGTTATGAGTGTCAAAGGCAATCTATTATGAGCATTAAGAGAAAAGAGGGGTGAAAACGGATCGGGTTTTAAAGGAAGGCTGCTAGGACTACACGAAACAAACAATTGACTCTGCGCCTTATCGCGCCCTTTCGCTCCATTTAATTTAAACACGAGCTGTGCCCAACCCCTACCCGCAACCCCTTTGTGTCACTCCCTATTAGCCTATCAAGACCGTCCCGGAACCTTAAATCACAATTAACACGAAATCTACGCTTCCTCTCTTCATCACAATATGTTTGACTTTATCTCGATTCTATTAACTTTTTTAGGAAGCTTACGTCCACTGTAGTCGAGAAGGCTAATGATCTCCTATTCAAGCGATAGGTTGCAAACACAAAAGGAAGGCCTCAAAGCTTCCCCTTTAACAAAAACCAAATGTATTCTTTGTCAGGTAATATTTTCATAGTTTTTGATACTAATTATCAAAAACATGATATATTAAACTATTATCAACAAATAGATACAATCTGGTTCATATTTAAAAAAAAACTAGTACAATAAAAAGTATAAAAATATTTAAACATAGTAATGTTTGGTCGCTTTCTTAATAATAAATCAAATTTTAAATTGCGAAATATTGCAGTATTTATTACTATGTACTATTTGAACATAGTACTGTTTGTAACCTCTGGTTCGTTTGGTCATTTATTCGGGCGACAGATTATAAATGTAAAAAGAAGGTCTCAAAAATTCTTCTTTAAAAAAAAAGTTTCTATTTGGAATTTTTATTTTTTTAATATTGTCATATCTTTAAATCCAAAGTATTCTTATGGGGATCAACAGTGATATGACAAAAAAGCCATAATTTACCTGAAACAATTAGGTTAATATTTGATAAAAACCCACATAACCAAATGAAATAGAATTTAAGTTAACTCTAATTAATTTTTATTGTTTGTAAATTGTAAACGTTGCCCTATATAAATTGGCCATGTTAACAGAATATTATTTTGGAGTGCTATAAGGTCGTACATAGTAGTACGCAAAAATTGGTAACCTTTGATCCGCTTGTTTCCGCTATTTATTCAAGATATAGGTTAAAAATGCAAAAAAGAAGGCCTCAAAGTTTCTTCATTAAGAAAAACAGTTTGTTTTTGGATTGTCATTTCTTTGATACTTTCTTATCTTTTAATCCAAAACTAGTTTTATGGAGATCAACACTGATATGACAAAAAAGCCATCACTTCCCTCAAACAATCAAGTTGATATTTGATAAAAACCCACGTAACCAAATGAAATGGAATTTATGTTAAATCTAATTAA